GTGCCTTGCAGCGAGACTGGAATTAGCTGAAATTACACCAGCAAGCTACCAAAACCAGGCCTTCCAAACACTAAAAATGTAAGAGTTTGTGCCAAATATTTATTATGAGCTTTAGGAGAGCATGAAAAGCCTGACTCTCTTCCCATTTACACTGATGAATTCTCAGTTTGCAGTTCTCTTGCTTTTGAACTGGGTTGCACAAGTGGGGAAATGAAGCCCAGTTGTTTTGTTGCACCTTTCACAAAAGAAGGGGCAAGGTGGCTGCAGTGACAATGTTCTTGACTGCCTCATGCTCTTAGAAATCCAAGAAGTAAGAATGTGATGAAAGATTTAAGGAAACAGAGCACAAATATGAAGTTTTCTTGCCAAAACAAATAAATGTGGATTTGCAACATTTCTAGAATGGGGCCAAGCAGATTTTACAGAAAGTTCATTAATCTATGTTTAAAGACATATTGGACAATCCAGCAGCGGATAACTTCATCAGTTCCCTCTCTCACTTGATGCATACTAATTGTATTTACTTGCTCCCTTTGGTTTCCTTTCTTTATGTGGACTTGAACATTTTCCTCTCTTGCTTGACTGAATTTGAGTGGCATCTTTAGAGATATGCCTGCCTCAAGGTCAAAATGAGCACTGATATTTTTCAGAAGAAATTATTCCTCAAAAAAACCCAACAAAACCAAACCCAAAAAACACCCCATCCAAAAAAAGAAAAAAAAAAACCCACCCCCAAACAAAACAGGAAAAACATTAAAAAAGAGAGTGAGATAGGTATTTTTATATGCTGTTGCATTTGTCAACAAGGAAAAATTCTTATCAGACAATCTTTTAAATTCATCTCAAAATGGAAGAAGTTCCCCTTCTTACTGAGCCAATGATTTCAAAACTCTTTAAGCAATAATCTTAAGTTACAGGCTTTGAAAATTAATTGCTGAGAAGCCTGAATTTAGAAACATGCTTTTAAAATAGAAAAACAAACCCCAGTGATGGGATTAGTAAAAAATTGACTCAGTGCAGCATCCTATGCTGAGAAAAGAAAAGATCTAGGGTTTGGGGTTTTTTTTTTTTTGGTATTTTTTTTTGACCAAAGTCTCCTTTGAGTTCAGCCCAGATTTTGCAGGTGCCCAAGCTGCTGCTGGTGATCCCTGCCTGGCAAGCAGGGTCGGGTGTGCACAGCAGTGAGTCATTAGCTCTCTCCCAGCCCATTTGGTACAAATGACACCTCTCTGCCAGAGTACTGCCTTGAGGCACTGCTCTTGGGGCTCAGCACTGCCACCAACTTGCTTACAGGGCAGCCAGTTACCCTGTGCCACTGCACAAGGGACAGGAAACCTTACAAAACATCTCTTGCATCTCTTCCCTGCCACCTCTGCCCTCTTACAAAGGGGCTGTGGCCTTCATAGAGAACTCACTCTGATTTCTGTCTTCTGCTTGCTCCTGGGTCTCAGTCAAGGCCACTGCTCCTAGCCCTGTGAAGTACATGGGGTCGAGGCAGAAGTGACTCTTGGTTCTGCATGTCAAGACCATGCAATAAGCAAAAAAGGGGTGAAGGAAAAAGTGAATATTTTAAACAGAGACAAATGAAAATCTTCTCACTAAACTTAGCTGAAGAGCAAAGAAGAGGGTGCCAGGAGGTATGAAACAAAGTGACATGCTGCTTTTGTAATTGCCTAATTGGACAAAATAATTCCCTCCTGCAGGGTGACCCTCTCTTGCATCTCCAGCAAGGAAGTGCAAAACTGAGTTTTCTGAATAAACCCATTGTCTTTATTGAATTACCATTTGATGCTATTATGATTATTGCATAATTATCCACTTGTTGTGAGTACTCATGTCTTTTTACATATTTCCTGCTCTCACAGTCATCATAGCATGGGACCACCCCAGAGAAATCATTTGTCAAACTATCTGCTTTAATGATGCCAGAAAGTGTTTTGCTCTTTGGCAATCAACTTCTCCACTTAATTTCTTAGCTCTTAAGGATTGTTTATCTACAGGCCTCCAGAAACTTACATAGTTGGCATCACTAAAGGTGACAGGAACAGTAAAACACTTTGATCCCCATCCTCAGGTGCTGTAACTTGTCTGAATTGGATGGCTAAGCCTTTTTGCCATTGATCAAGCAGTTTGTTGCAGATTATTATAATTAAGTACCTTTGAAGTGCCAAGTTATATGAAGCTCTGGAGAAGTTCAGGTTTCAGAGCTCAAATAAAATTTATTAATATTCTCATTTTTTAGGGATATCATGCTGTTTATGGAAGTGGTTTTTCTGCACATTCTTATTTGTTCTGGTGGGGCTGATCCACTTGGGAAAAGCACATGTAGGGAAGCCATCCATAGCTAAGAACCTGTCCTCACTCCTGATTTAATCCTAACCTCATGTTTTCCAAAGATAGTCATGGGAACTGCACGTCCCAGAGGAAGGTTAGACTCAGCCTTGATGCTGAACCAGGCTGATCTGTGTCGCTCTGCCAGTGCCACAAACAAGGCAGCTCAGCCAAGCATCAGAAGAGCAGTCCCAAGCCAGGCAGCCTGAGCTTGTCTCCAGCATAGTGCCACCACCAAAGTTAGGGCATTTCCCTGGTAACCCCACCCAAGAGACAGCACCTCAACAGTTCAGTAAAGTAAAAAAAGATAGCTGAAAGTCACCTTTGTGATTGTGCATCCAGGGCCGTGCTCAGGAGTCACTATGAAGTTGGGAGGAAGCTTTGTCAGTCCTCTAAAGAATGCCTGTGCTGGCAGCTATTTCTTTTTCCAAGAAGCACTGGTACAACCAGAGCTTCCCCCAGCACCCTGCCCAGACCTCCACAGCTGGGGGGACACCAGGACATCTGGGACAGTACCTATTTCTCACAGCCCTGCATGCAAACATCAAGTGAGTGAATTAAATGAGTATTTTATTGACAGCAGTCTCACATAGGGGAGTACACGTTGGGGAAATTTTAAAAAAGAAGACAGTATCTGGTTCTAAACAGTGATGTCAAAAGAGGAAAAAAAAAACCAACAGTATTTTGTTTTAGAGAATGTAGGGACAAAAAGCTTCCCATATTTGAACTGCAATGAGCATGCAAATGTTACATTTAAATACCTGTCCCTACCTTTTCTTCCCAAAATCCAGCTCTTGAACCCCAAAGTCAATATACATTAAAATCTGCATAGAATAAAAATAAAGTCAAAATGCCAATGCCTCTAAAATGTCCCACAGAAAATAAGATATTGGAAATGTTGTAGTTTCACTCTGCTAGTTCAGCAACCAAGATGAGAAAAGAATAATTGTTAGCTCAAATCTTGAAGTTACCAAATAAAGGGGCTTAAATAAAAATAGACTGGGGAACAGTGAAAGAGACTTTAAAATATGTAGATTTTAATTACCCTGCCTGAAAGTCTCAGTTGCTGTCTGTATTTTTGAGAGACTGGGTTTATAGGGAGCACCCAATGCCCACACTGATGGGGTTTTTACTTTGGAGTAGCTCTGGTCTGGTCATGTGAGCTTAATTGCAATTAGCTGTGAGATTGTTTTGTTTCACCCATGAGCAGTCAAGGTTGCATGTCCCCAGCTGCTCTGCAGAGTGAGACACAGAATGATACATGGTGGAGGGCAGCAGATTCATTCCCAAGTGATCTCCTGCTCTGAAACCAACTGCTAGTGTAGGCTACAGACTTTGTTAATAATTTCTTAAGACAAAGTAGACCCTTCATCTGATTATTATTTTTGCCTGTAACTAGGAGAAGTAATTTAAAAACATACCATCTGCCTAAAAATGTACAAATATGATAAGTGCTTAATATATTTTTACGAGAAAATTCCAACGTGGAGGAAGAAAACACAGTAATGCTTGATTTCTCAATGACTATTGCAATATTTTGGAATCTAGTTACAGTGCTACTTCATGCTAGTCTAAATTATTGCTATTAACAAATCTAGGAGCTTCAGAAAGGCCACATTTAAAAAAGAATTTTTATCTTCCACTAATTTCATCATTTTATGAAGTCTTAACAGACTTGAAAAATTGGCCTACAGTCTGAGTGACAGTTTGTGTTACAGATTTAGAGGGGATATGAAATTTTCCTATATCAAAGCTGAAGAACAGTTCTGACAGCTGCAAATGTTCTCTGAATTAATAATGTGGAGCTGGTATAAGACAATATTTAAGAAAAATCCATTTCTTTCTGCAGCATTGAGGACCCTTGCTTATAAAATATTAAACAGGATTAAAATTGGTATGCTGCTTGAATGGGAAGAGAAAACTTGAAATCCACATATAAATCCACATATAAATATAAATTTAAATATAAGAAATATAAAGAATCATTAGTTCCAACTTTTATTATTGATAACTTATAATTTGGGATAAAACAACACCCTGGCCTTGCTGCTAAAATTCAAACCAATATTTTGGTTCTGGCATAGAAAAGAAAATCCACTTTCTAGCTTTGTTATTTAAACCCCACTGACCAGCCCTTATTTGCAGAAGCTTTCTTCACTTTAACTATAACAAACACCTCTGGAAGATTAAATAAGCTTGTTATCTGCTATGTAAGGTGTCTGAATATTAATTGAAAAATCTCTAGTTCTGGTTTGTCCTGACTTAACAGATAAAATTACTTTCCTATTTTTCAGTGCTTCCTGACATCAGCTCTTAGTTAAAAATTGGTTTTATAATGTCAATAAAAGCCCAGGAGACATGGCCTAGCTTTGTGGTTTTTTTGTCTAGCAGAGAGAAAGGCTGGGCTAAAATTTCATCAAGAGACTTAAAGTTTTAACCTCACACCCACCTAAACTTCTCAGGTTAACAGTTTAGCCATTTTGTTCCCCATTCTCACCTGCAGAAATGAGAGAAACCTGTGGCATCTGTGTAAAACTCACCTGTGCACTCAACCTGCTGCAGTCCCCCCAAGCAAGCCAGTGCTTTCCCAGCTGGTGAGATGCTGTAGGTGGACCAAGGGAAACCTCAGGAGCTGCAGAGAGGTCCTGCTGCCTGGAGCAGACACAGAAACCTGAGATCCCAGCTGGTATTTATCTAGTGGAAGCCAGGGTGAGTGTACAGGGCAGGAATATGTGAGGGGATGTTGCAAGCCTTTGTTGTCTGCGCGGGATGAAAGGACTTCCCGTCAGAGTCTCAGGGAAAGTCCCAGCTCTTGTATTTACAGCTGAGATGAAGCTGGGGTTGCTTCTGTCATGCTGGCACTGATTTGCCCCTTGGCTGTTGGCCAGAGCTAAGGTTTGGCTGCCTCTCCCCACTATTATAAGACTAACCAGAATTGCATTAGTCAGAAATGTTGTAGAAGCACAACAGCAAATATTTGCCTGGAAGGAAAGTTGCTTTTTTGTCTTGGCTCTCCTGTGCCATTCCACCTGTAGGTAAAGATGGTAAGATTGCCACATCGAGATGAAGGGAATTTGGCATGGGGATGGTTGAAAGTAGCTGATCTCTGAAACTCTCTGGGTATCCTTGGTAAGTGCAGTTGTCCTGTGGTGCCAGTCTGTGATGGGTAAGTGTTGAGAAATGAGTCTTTCGGGGACAAGCCACTGTGTAGATGCACGTGTTGTGGTGTTATGTATCTGTTTGAAATGGGATGTAATCCAGATCAGATTACTTGAGTATCACTGACCTAGATCATAATCCAGATAAGAATAAGGGGCTAAGAGAGTCCCACTAGCAGTGAAATTTTGTAAGTTTGAAAAATGTCTTGAAGGCAGGTTTAAATACTATAGCATGCTAGACTTGCAAGCAATTTTTAACAATAAAGGGGAAGATAGTAAAAGAAAAATACTTTTACACAATCTTGACTTTGGGAGATTTACTGGAAACTAATTAGGAAAACACACTAAGATGAAAGAGTCACAGAATATATAAAACACAGAGGTAATTTTTAAAAACAGAAAAAAAGACAATAAGAAGTTTCATTCAGAACAATCTGCGACTGCACTAGAGCTGAAGAAAGTATATTTGAGAGCTTGAATTCTAGAAAAGAGATCAGGTCGTGGCTGAGATTTAGAACTGGAATAGCTTGTGTCACCAGTACACTGTGATAAAAAGTGAAGTGTGATGCCTGAAGCATTGGAAGAGCTCCAGGAACCAAAAAAGATGATATCCCTTTGAAAGAGCTTGGAAGATTCAACAAGGTGCACCTTGCATGTGCAAAGTGTATGAGCTGCTCAGAATGTCCACGGAGGCAGTGGATGTGTCTGGGGGTAACCAGGGTAGTATTCATTTTCAAGTAACACTTAAAGGAAGATGCTGCCAAGAATTGTGTTTTACACTTAAATTAAAGGGAATGGAGAGGAAGATAGTTTACTTGCAGAGTTGAAAAGCACAAGCCAAAGCCCACAGAAATTATGAGAAATAAATGTCCAAATTCATAATAGATAGGAAAAAGGACAAGTGCTATGTAATGCACTGCATGATCTAAGCGTTGAGTTGCTGTGTAATAACATGAGCAAAAAAATCTGAAAATAACTTGAAGCTGTTTTCCAGTGGATAAATACCTTGTGAATACTAAAAAAACCAGGAAAGCATTGCGTTGTCCAGCATTTCACTCATCTATTTGATGCCTTCACATTGTAAAACAATGCTTCAAAGAGGAGATGGATATACTTGTTGCTCTGGAATGACTGGAAGAACAGACAAAATAGTTCTTGTGGTTATAGGAAAGCTGAATTAAACTCCTTGTTTGCCCATTGATAGACCTGAAGAAACAAAACAAATCTTTTACAGGGGTCCTGGTGGGTGTTCATATTAGCAAAAATAAAAGAAGTTTTTTTTTTTTTTAACTTTTTGAGACCTTTGTGAGCTGCACTGTTTTCTCAGATGTGTATTTAGGCTGCATTTAGCACCTGAGGAAAATTGTGATAAATTTTGCAAACCTTTCAGGTTAGTAAAATTTATACAGATGACATTTAGATTTGATGAAAAAATAGTCTCAGAGAAGCCTTGGAAAGAAACTGCTTCTGGGCAAACAACACTGTAAATAACATGTAACACAAATAATAACATACTTCAAAAAAGTTGGCACAAACCCGAATAAATCACCAGAAAATATTCAACAATTTGTGTTCTCCAAAAGTATTTGGGTGCTGAATTATAAAGAGAAATATGTACCTAATGTAGCTTTTCGAGAGCACTGTCATGATTATCTCACATGTAATTGTTGAAGAAAATGAGAAACAGGAGGAATTAATTAGACATTTTAGACCTTAAAGTAAATTATCCATGGTGGATTTCAGGGCAGATGTTGATGTGGTCATTTTAAACAGTGTGAAAATTGAAAAGAAAAAAGGAAAAAAGAAAAAAAAGAGATCGCAGTAGTTTATGAGTTAACAAAACTTAGGTAGACATAGGGGAAAAAAAAGAAGATTTAATCTTAGTCATGGAAATAAACAAACCCATACATTTTTATTTACTGGAGGCCAGTGCCATTTGAAACTGATTATAAATCATAAGGCATTACAAAACAAAGCCTGGCCAATGGCTATTTTTCATTATTTTTTCAGTTATGGAGTGTGACTTGCAACTTCAATATATCCTTGAAATTGCAAGCTGGATTTCTAGAGCATTTGACAATGGAACCTAGTCCAGAGAGATATTTGCTCCTCACTCTTATTGCAACAGTAGTTACTGAGGCTAAGATGCTTTAGAAAATAGTTCATATCATTTAATGCAAGATTGAATTTAGCCTGAAAACATGAAAGTGGTGAACTTGAAAGCTTTACTGGGGAAGAGCTTCCAAAGCACATGTGCCAAAAATTTCAAGATTCAAATGCATAAGGAACGGGCCAGGGACATGGGAGGGGTGTGCTCTGATCTGTGTCCATCTCTGGGGTCCCTATATTTGTTTAAGCACTCATCTCTCACACTTTACCCTTGTTTTTTAATTTTTTTTTTGTTTTGTTTTTTTCATTTGTTGTTTCCGATCATCACTTGTCTGTGTTCCTTTTTTTAGGGAGAAGAAAAAAAGAGCAATGGTGTTACAAAGCTGCATGTTGTTTGTAGGAGGTTGTTTCCCCAGGCTCATAGTTACTGTGGAAGATGAGATGACAACCTTCTAAAAAACCCAGAAGGGAAAAAGAGGCACAAAGCCTGTCACTTTGTGCTGCAAAATCTCCATCAGACAGCAAGCTCCCCCTGGGACCAGGGAGACCCAGGACACTCAGCTAGGATGGCTGCCCCAAGAGAAGCAGTCCTGGGGCCCTAGGGGAGCCAGCATGCCCACAGGGACACCACAGAGCACCTCAAAGGCTGGTGAAAATTTACTGATAAATGCAGCCTCAAGGCTTCTGATAAACATTTGTATCCCTCTGTTATATCCCTGTTTGAAACAGACTTGGTTTTATGTTTTCCTTGGCAGGGAAGGTATAGTCTTGGGAATGTACATTAAAGTTTTAGCATCTGAAAAAATAATTCTGGCTATAGCTTTGTAATGCCTGCCTTTGCTATGTGCAGCCTTCACAGAGAGAGTAACATCATTTTGCTGGGGGTTTATTCTGAGTCCAAGATTACACAGATATTCAGGATAGAAGTCAACATGTCTTTGAGGATTTAAGCACTAGAGATGGTGAAAGACCACCAAGCACAGTAGTTAACCCAAATCTCAGACATGCCAGAGTAAATGGATTTCTCCCTGAAAACAGGGTACACAGTACCATGGTTTAAACATAAGCTTTGTATTCTTTGTCCCTATCATGGCTTGTCTGTACAAAGCATAGTTTCTTGAGAGTGAGGTACTGATTCCTCAGTGTTTAGGGGTAGCTGACTTCACATCAGCTTTCCCAGAAACAGGAAAAAAAAAATCACCCTTCACAAAATCACAGATACGAGTGTCAGTTTTAAATCCATGGATTTTCTATACGATGTCATTGTCTTTGTTTGGAAAAAAATCAGAGCAATTTCAGTGAAACTTGGTTTAATAAAAAGTCTTTAGCAGAAAAATTAGATCATATTTCCCTTTCAAATAAAGTAAAAAAAAATCTTTCTCTCTTGAACTTTGTTTGACACTATTTCATGTGACGGTTCAGTTGCTTCCCTGTGCTCAAACTGAAGCTGTTGAATTTTGGTGTGTTTGCTGTTAAATTCTGCAGGGTGGGAATATTCAGACCATTTCTGAACATAAGCTCCAGAACTTTGCACAGCTTAAGATTTCTTTCCTGCACAGTAAGAATTTCTATGAATGTCCAAGAAATATCCATGAAGTCTATGAGGGAGACACTGGACATGCAAGCAGGTGAGCAACACAGATCATTTGAAGTTGCAGACCAAGATAAATAAAATTTCTTAAGGTTCTCAGTGAGTGAAAACATGAGCCAAAAACATACTGAGATGAGCTGTTGTGTGAGCAGATATTCAAATTTAGGGAACATGTGAGTTTTTGGCAGTCACAGTCACTTCTAACTTCTTTCTTTCTATATAAACCACTAATCTCATCCAGCATGTCCATGCTTCATTTTAATCATCTTCTAAGAAAGTGTTTGAGAAGTGAAGGACATGAGAAGGGATAGAATTTTTCCTGTGAGAGGTGAGACTGACACATTGGAGACTGAAAGTCAGTAATGGTTGCGGCATTTTTCCATTTATTGTTCTCATCTCAGCTGAAGCCAAATCCTAGCTTGGAATCCTTCTTCTAAGGTTAATATTTTCAAAGGAACTACACTCAAATATGTGTGAGATGTCTCAGGTTTTTATTGTGTCTCATTAGTTTTCAACACACATGTGAAGATCAGTAAAGATCCTGGAGGGACCTCTTGTAATACTGTCAGTAGGAGATGGGAAAATGCAACTGTATAAGCTTTTACATTCTTAGTGTTATTTTCTGTTTTTTGGCTACCTGCCATTTGATTTTAAGTGGGGATTAAAGGCACTGAAGACACATGCAGCTAAAATATCACAGGTTTTTTATGCTAAATAAAGGTAATTTTGTTCAGCTGGTGTTTATCGCCTATTCACAGAGTGACACTTTCATTTCTGAGATGATAATAACCATTCAGTATCAGCATTCCTTGCTGTTTCAGCAGATAAAGTTATGCTGTGACCAGAGATAGCTGTTGTGCATGCATTTCTGAAGGCTGCTCTGAATTCCTGTTGTATTCAAGCTTGTTGCTTCATTTCTAAACAGTCTTTTTCCTTAAATTACAACAAAGAATGTGACACTATTATTCACTTAGTTTCTGGGAACATACTCTGCTGATGACAGTGCCTACCAGGAGGCCAAAATATACCTCAAGATACTTGCTGTCTGATGTAGAGAAATATGCAGCGTTTTTACTTCTTAGCATATCACAGATAAACCTTACTGTGATTTTGTTGAGATGGAAAGCAAAATGCTTATTATAAGTATTCTGGGAAGAGCATTTGGGTACACTTAAAGAAAAGCATAAAGTAAAGCAGACTAAAATATTTCAGTCAATGGCCCAAAGCAAAGCCTAGATTATGATCTTCTGGCTTATCCATTCTGGACCTGGAAAG